TACAGCTTTATGGAGAAAGAGTGTATTATAAAATAGAGAATGAAAATATAATACCTTCAGACAGTATTTTCAGAATCACGTTGTGCATGAGATGAAATACTCACGGAATTCCATATGTTGCTCAATTAGATTTCCTGGAATTCTTAATACTGTCTGTCTTAGTTAGGAATATGTCAGTTTTCACTTCCTCACCTCTAACGTATCCCATTCTACTGAGTGAGTTTTACTCTTAAAACAGGGTGTTCAGTTAAGAGGCCAGCTAGTAACTGACCTGAGCTGCCTAACAAGTTGAACTGCCAAGACAAAAATCTAAAGAGATTAGAATGTCTTCCTGAAGTAGATATGTAGGATGGGCACTTGCAAGTAACTAAAAAAGGTGGTGTCATTACATTAGTAACGTGTTGGAACTCAGTGTTCCTTGGTGTAAATTCCCTTTTTTTAACTAGTAGCAGCAAACAACCACATATTTTAAAAAAAGTTTAGATCATGATTTGTTATGAAGATATGCATAACTAAATTAACAAAGTCCAGATAAAAAGCACTGCATTTGAATGCTCCTCCAATTCATAAATAAATTCATTTATAAAATAAATGCAATATGTATCTTTATATTTTATCCTAGAGTAATATTATCAGATAGTGGTGTATCTGGATTTGCATTTGCATGCATCATCATCCCATATTGTAACTCACACGCGACTGGGCATGGCTAAGGAATTTTAGGGAATGACTGTTGGTAAATCTAGATATCTAATGGTTCAAAAATGAGTTTTATATTTAGAAAGAAAAATGTGTAAAAATCACAATTCTATTAGGTCAAGTGAGCGTGAATCTGTAACCTTCCATTAGGATATAAGAAATGGCTTGCTGGATTAGATCAAATTCTACTTCATCCAGCATTGTTTCCAAGAAAGTATTACGTATGTGTACTTATAATCTGTATGAGGAAAATAGCTGTAAGATACAATCGAGGCAATTGATTGACCCAGATGAACAACCACATTGGTCTTGCCTTCACAAAAATAATAAAAAAGGAGTTTCATAGACAGGAAACATTTAGTATTAACAAAACAATCTGAAATGGAGTTTGCTTTGTAGTTAATATTGTTTAAGGACAATCAAGGAATGTCTCCTTAAGCATCAGAGCACAGGCACCAACAAGAGCTGATATGGGGCATATGCACTATTGAACTTGGGTCAAGTATCTACTGAGCATGGTTCATAATACAGTCGATTATTATGTGTGTTATTCTGAGTGTCAAAAATAATGAGTGTTAGCTAATTATCATGACACCACTATTAAATATGACATCTGTTCCACATGGCAGTGTTTGCTGAAGTTCACTGTTTTTCTTACAGGCAGTTTGGATGTCATGTATGAGCTGGAAGTTCAAAAATTAATCAATTCACATCTTGGTTGTGCCTGTTGTGATAACACCCAGAGTATTAAGTGAGACAGTCTTTTTCACCATCCTGTCTAGAATTTGCATCCTGGGTTTTTATATCAGTCGATAAGTTTTTCTCCCAGTCTTCTTGCTATCTTTTTTCCCCACAGCCCCTTTGGCTGTTGCTTCAGGAAGAGATTAGGTTTGACTTGCTATAAAAACAAGGATTCCTTTTCTTAGTAGAAGGGATCTGGATCCAGCAAAACTTTCTTGCTCAGGAAGTGATCAGAGTGGAATATTTTTCCAATACCTATTCTTCACTCAAAGCCCTGGCATCCAATTCTGGCATGTTATCCACTCTCTGGAGATTTTCTAGGGTTTTCTGTGGATGGTCAAGTTGTTATGCTATGCATTTTAAATTCAATTTATTGTAGAACATGTAGCAGTGTTCCATATTGCCCAATAGCAGAGGGTTAACTGAGGTACCTTGAAAGCTACTTACTGAAATTGAAATTAATCTAGATCAACCAGAATGACACCCACATATAGCTTGACAAGTACAAAGGGACTTAATTTACATTTGATTTAAAATCTTATGCTTACATATCATCCGGAAGGACTTTTTTGCTGACCGGGTGTAACCTTGAGTAAGGATTTGGTTTTTGATGTTTTCCTTGAAACACGAACTTAATACAATATCCAATATAACAAAATAATATGCTGCTTTGTGAGGGGTGTGTATGCTGCCTGTTTCTACAGGGATGCATGAAGATGATTTATTATTTAATTGTATGGCCAGAGTTACTTATTCATTCAAGAAAATGCAAAGGGGAAGGTGGATATTTACGATCCTGTAGATCTATACTCAGGCATAAACCATACGCATAATCCGTTTTTATATACTGTAGCTTTAAGAATGGAATCAGCTGTGGTTTTTATGTCACCATAAGCTACTTTTCAATTTACTGCAATAAGCTATTCGTTTATTTTATCCAACTGATATGTAACATTAAGCCCAAAACTACTGTTTATGAATTTCAATAGCTACGTTTGAATATCAGTTCACATTAAGAGAAACTGAAACTTATTATAATGTTGCACTGTATGAAAACCTCATGTGTTAAACACCTTATGATCATTGTTTGGATAACTTGGTATTTTCAGAATCCAGAATGTTCAAAAGTATCAAAAATGGCTATCATACCAACCAATTTTTACCTATATTCATGTTGGTTGTAGCTCATTTCCAAAATGTGGCTCATTTTGATCTTTAAAACCTTTAATCAGGGGTTCCTAAACTTGGCAACTTTAAGACTTGTGGACTTCAAACATAGCTGGCTGGAGAATTCTGGGAGTTGAAATCCACAGTTGCCAAGCTTGGAGACATCTGCTTTACATCCAGACTATCTGAAGGACTGCCACCTGTCATATGGATTTTCCAGATGTTACAGAAGTTAGAACAGCTGTGTAGAATGCAACATAATTAAAGACAATGTTTCAATTGTGGGGAGGGCATTAAGTTGATCAGGCCTTGTAAGGTGAAGTACAGAGTATTTATTTATTTATTTTAAAACATTTATATGACTGCCCAGCTCACTTTCAGTGACTCCTGCTGGCTTATAAATTAGGAATTCAATTATCATTTAGTGGCATTCCTTTTTCCTGACTGGGTCATTTGTAGCTGATCAAAATAGTTTTATATTCCTGGCTTCCTTAACAATTTATAAACCTATATAAAGGTTTTTAAGTGTTTTGTAGCTGCTTTGGTAGGGCAGAAGGAAACTCTCTTAAATTCTTATCATGCACTGCTTCTTTTATACATTATATTTTTCATACTTAAAAGGATGGGATACACCATCTTAGAATTCCGCTACTGAGGGGTAGATTATTTTACATCAGTTTCCATGCCAAATTTGATATTTCAAGATTGCCTTCTGGAAAAGATATAATCAGGGGTGGGATTCAAACATTTTAACAACTGGTTCTGTGGGCGTGGTTTAGGCGGTGGGTGTGGCTTGGCGGTCATGTGACTGGATGGACGTGGCCAACTCAACATCACTCACATCAAGGCACGCATCTCCTCGCCTGCCCTCTCATGACTGTGGGGATGCTGCAACAGTCGTAAGTGTGAAAAATAGTCATAAGTCACTTTTTTCAGTGCCATTGTAACTTTTAAAGGTCACTCAACACAAGCAAAGTACCAGCAAAGGAGGGAGAAAAAACTCCAGAGAAGTTCCTGAGACAAGAAGTCTAGTCCTACCAAGAATGTAATAAGGGTTAATGAAGAGGCAGTTTCTGTAAGCAACACCAGAATGTTTCCTTCCTGCCTTCCTTACAGGATTAAGCCAGTAATTTCTTCTAACGACCGGTTCTCCGAACTGCTTAGAATATTAACAACCTGTTCTAGTGAATAGGTGCGAACTGGTAGAATCCCACCCCTGGATATAATCCATTTTAGTAGAATTGTTTAAGTATTCTTTAGGTTTTCAATCTATGAGAAACTGGACTTTACAAAACCAGGCATAGAAGGTTAGATTACAATTTGCAATGCAAACCAGTGTGGTGTACACTACATCACGGCAAGTACATGAGAATTAACAGATAACAGATAATCAGAGTTGGAAGGGACTTTGTAGGTCATCTAGTCTAACCCCCCGTCCAAGCGGGAGACCCTATACCATTTTAAATTAAATTAAATTAAAATTAACCCTCCTGGTTTTACAAATACAGGTAGTCCTGTATTGAATTTGCTTTTCTCTGAAGAATTTAATCCACACAAAAATTCCGCTAAAGTCAATGAATGCTTGTTTCTAGAATCAGATGTGATTAGTGTCATTCCTCAGATCACTATAGGTAGTTTTTAACTTATGACCACAATTGAGCCCAACATTTATGTTGTTAAGTGAGACATTTGTTATGTGAGTTTTGCCCCATTTTACAACCTTTCGTCACTGTTAAGTGAAACACTGCAGTTGATTAGTAACCCGGTTGTTAAGTGAATCTGGCTTCCTCATTGACTTTGCTTGTCAGAAGGTTGCAAAAGGTGATCACATACCTTGGGACACAGCAACAGTCATAAATATGAACCAAACAGCTGAATTTTGATCACATTATCATGGGGGTGCTGCAAAGGTTGTAACTGTGAAAAATGGTGATATGTTGCTTTTTTCAGTGTCGCTGTAAGTTTGAATGGTCATTCAATGAAGTCGAAGACTATCTTACTTCAAAGGCAGGATATTTATATATTCAGACATCACTCATAAGCTGCATGCATTGCAGTTTGCAAACTGCCATTTATAGTTAAAAATGCCCAAACTCAACAAATGGTGGTTTAATCTAATTATAGTTAAGCAAAGCAATCTACTCATAGAAATACAGTTTCTCCTTTTTTTTACCACGATCTTGGCCTGAAGGATGATTACTCACTGATTATATTAAACAGATTTAATACACGCATTAGCCAGGGTGGAATGCTATAAAAAGAAATAGTACAATTTCATTGCTATTTTTAATTTGAAATATGACAGTGAAAATGATTTCAAAAGAAAGATACAACCTATTTAAAAATCTGACTTTATGGAACTTCAGTTTGCTTTTCTGTTTTGTTTTTTTTCAATTGACAGATTTGTTTAACATTTATCTTTTTAAGCATGCAAATATCTAATTAGGTCTAATAAAATCTTACCAGACTCTCAGAAACTCTTAGATGTCACAGTGACATTCATGTTAGGTCTCAGTAATAAAAGTGACTCTGCCCTTCTCTTTTCTTGGATTTGTATCTTAAACTAACTTTAAAATGACACCAAAGTATTGTTTTGCAAAGGTTAAAACTAAGTAAGGGAAATCATATTCGTCGGATCATAGAGAAAAATTGCATTTCTAATTTGAAATATTAAGAGAATAACTTAAACTATGCCTACAGGCTCATAAAACAAGAACATTTCCATTCTATTATTTCTATGAAAGGAATAGAATTTGTGACAAAGAATTCTCCAAGATTTCCTAGAGCTACTAGGACCATGATTAGACACATTCCGAACCAATTTGAAGTAGGTTTTAAAATACATACATTAACTCTCTATGTTTTCTAGGAGGACTACCAGATAAGGACTGCAAATATCTAGATGAAAACAAAATGGTGGTAGAGATATACAAACACCCACCAATCACTGAGCTGAGCTGCAAAAGGCTTCGGTAACCATAGCCAGGTGCCAAGGATGGAGACTTCAGTCATTTTTCAAGTTATCTGAGTAATAAGGAACTAGGAATAGGTTTTCAGCTTTGATGATTTTTCACTCAAACTATATTCAAATATGGTTCTACTGCTATTTTGGAGGGATGAAACCATGTTTAAAGAGAAGCTGTTTAAGAGTTTGGTGGACAGGAGAAATAATGTGGGGATAATTTAGGAGGAGCTGACCAGGTGATCTCTAATTCTAACTTCTTGGTGTTATTTAATGGCCATTCAGAGTTTTGTAATCCGCAGATGAGAGCCCTGTGAAATATAATGAGATATGTTTAGTACACATGTTAATCACAATTTTAAAAAGTGTGTCTGTTTGTGGGTGTCAGATATGTCAAGTGAAAAATCCTACTTATAAGTAAAACGTATTTTTATTCTCATCTTTTCCTGCCATAATGTTTATGCAGATGTACACTTTCTGGAGATTAATGCTTAATCATCCACACTGAGAGACTTGAATATAAGACATCTTCTTTGGTCCTTTACCTGTGGAAGTTGTTAGAGAAAAGTGTATATCATTTCTTGGAAATATTATACAATAGATACAATTTTGAAATCTCCTATTTGGAATGTCCCTAGAGGATAGTAGCCAGAATCTAAGAACAAGGAATATACCCACTCCAGCTTAAACTGCACAATAGGAGCTGCAGTAACTCCTCCTCCAAGAGGTAGCTGCTGACAGATTAGTCAGTGAAGAATTTCAGGTTATCGCCTTCACAAAAATGCACCCAGGTGCAATATTAACACTGGACTAGCTAAAAATGAGTTAAAGCTGCCTCAGGCCTGGGCTTGGGATGAGGTGAAAGTAAAGTGAAGAAAGATAAAGGTAAAAATTTCACCAGCCCAGTAATGCTAGGAAGTGGTAGTCATCTCCATTTCCTAGCCACGGAAGCCAGTGTTGTCTGAAGATGCTTCCATGGTCTTATGAGCAGTAGAACTATCTGCTGAAGTGCATGGAACGCTATGACTTTCCCACAGAAATGGTACTCCCACAGAAATGGTATTTACTGCATGCATGCTTTCTAATTGCTAGGTTGGGAGAAACTGGGACAGGAATGGGAACTCACTGCTTAATGATACTTGAGTTTTGAACTACCAACCTTTTGAAGTCTTAACTGCTAGGCCACCATGCCCTCTGTCAAGAAAGGTAAGGTAAAGGTCTCCCTGTGGATTAGTATTTGCCAACTATAGAGGGCAGTGCTCATCTCCATTTCAAGGCCATTGAAGCAACACTGTCAAAAGCATTTCTGCAGTCATGGGGCTAGCACGATGCCATGGAACACTGTTACCTTTCCACCAAAGTGGTATCTATTTATCTATTTGCGTTTGCATGTTTTCCAACTGCAAGGTTGGCAGAAACTGGGGCAAAGATAAGAGCTCACCCAATCGCATGGAGCTTGAGTCTCGAACCTTTCCAGCTGACAAGCCGAGCATCTTAATCAATGAGCCACCATACCAACCAATGTCAAGAAAGCTAGCAGCAAAAAGGGGTTGCCAGATATGTGTATGCCATGGTGGCATGCAAGTGAGAAAAGACCTTACTTGACTACCTGTTGGGAAGATAGAACACTTGTGAATATAGAAGGAATTCTTCCTTGCTCCTTTACTCCCATGCCTCAAGTGGCCCCAATAGATTTAATATGATAAAAAAGGCAAAGAGTTTAATATTTTGAACTTTCAATTTCAACAAATATAACAAAATAATTCAGCATAATAATTCAGCAAAATAATTCCAAGCTCTTTCTGCCAGCTTTTCATATATATTGTTTTAATTAAAACCTAATTGAAAAGTAGCATCAAAGCCAATGCATTTGAAGAAATATTGTAAGCTTGTTACTGTCAATAAGCATGGCAATAAGATTTAAGATGTATTTTAACCAACAATAATAAAAACAGCAGTCATTTCAAAGAAAGAAAATGACAGAATATATTAACTTTTATACCAAGAAAAACTAATTCTCAGAATCAGCAATTGTATGCGTCAATTAAAATAGCAAAACTAAATGTGCTTCTAACATGCAGAAGAAAATATGTCAAATATTTCTTTTCAGGTGATCTATCAAACTGAAGTATAGTGGATAACAAAAAGTGTTCTGTGAGCAAAATTGCATATTAAAAAATTAAACATTAAACATGACAAGTAATGAAAAATAAAAGTGAAAAGTTTTGTAAAATAAAAGTTGCTTTTGGAACTTGCAAGCAAATCAATCACTATAAGATCTATTTATTTAAAACATGCGTTTGCATTGACAGATTGAACTTGTACTATCAAGTCAAGGTTGATTCTTAGTAGAGAAAGTTCTGGCTGCATCACTGTTTAATTGAGTTCATCCATCTTGCTATTGGTCATCCTTTTGTCTTCACATTTTCAGCATTATAGACTTCTATAGGAAGCTAAGTCTTCACATAATTGACCAAAATATGATAATGTTTGCTTAATCATTTATGTCTCAAGTGTGAATGCTGAATTGAATTGTTTGGTGATCCATTTGTTTGCTCTCTTGGTTATCCATGGTGTTGTCTGAGCTTTTCTTGAATACCAGGACTCAAAAGTGTCAATACTCTTTCTGTTCTGCTTTTTCAACATCCAACTTTGGCATCCATAGAGCATCAAAGGCAGTGGTAGGATTCAAAATGTTATATTACTGGTTCTGTGCGCGTGGCTTGGTGGGCATGGCATGGCTTGATGGGTGTGGCAGGGGAAGGTTACTACAAAATCCCATTCCCTCCCCATCCTACTAACCTGCTTTCCAGCTCTGTTTTCCTGTGCAGGGCAACAAAAGATAACCCAGCCAATCCGCTGGGACTAAGGAGGCAGAGAATCAATGGGGGCAGGGGCAGTCAGAGGTGGTATTTGCCGGTTCCCTGAACTACTCAAAATTTCTGCTACTGGTTCTCCAGAACTGGTCAGAACCTGCTGAATACCATCTCTCATCAAAGGGAAAATGATTGCCTGTATGGTTCTGATTTTTGTAGGTACAGACGCATCTGGCATCCGAGTATCTTTTCCAAGGGTTTCATTTCTGATCAGTCGTTCACTAGTCTACACTGAATTTCCTAATTATTGATTCCTCTAGTGTCGATAGTCAATCCTAAAAGTCAGAAAGTAGTCATCACTTCAATATCTTCACTGTGAATTGTTGCACTTGTCATTAGGCTGGTTTTCTTCATATTTAATTTTAATCCCATTTTTCACCATGCTCATTGACTAGTCTTCAATTTACAACAGTTCATTTAGTGACCGTTCAAAGTTATAATGGCACTGAAAAAAAGTGACATGATCAATTTTTCATAATTATGACCATTGCAGCATCCCCATAGTCACATGATCAAAATTCAGACACTTGGCAACTGACTCATATTTATGATTTCAGTTTCAGTGTCCCGGAGGGTCATGCGATCACCTGCAACCTTCTGCCAAGCAAAGTCAATGGGGAAGCCACATTCACATAACGTTCTTGTTACTAACTAATCAACTGCAGTGATTCACTTAACAATGGTGGCAAGGAAGTCATAAAATGAGGCAAAAGTCACTTAGCGATTGTGTCACTTAGCAACAGATATTTTGGACTCAATTGTGGTCATATGTCAAGGACCACTACCTGTATTACTACAGCTTGCAGTTAGTATTTTCAGCTAAGTAATGTCATCAGCACAGTTAGGGAGCATTGGTATTTCTTCTTCCAGTTTTAAAACCATGCTTATCTGATATTCAGACTCCCTCTATCTGTATTCTACACACAGATTAAATATATAAGGGGAGAGTGTCCAGCTTGGTCTCTCTCACTCCTTTGTCAATCTGGAGCCAGTTTGTTTTGCCATGTTCTGCCCAGACAAGAGTTTCCTGCCTTGTATATCCTTTTTTTCCCATGAGGACAAGGAGATATTCTGGAATTCCTGTTTTTCTAAGCAAATTCCATAACTTCACATGATTTCCATAATAGGAAACTAATAATTACTGAACTGTATCATGTATTTTTTGGCTTTCTCTGTGATCCTGCATGGCGTTTTCCTTACTTTTTATAAAGCCATCTTGAACATCTGGAATCTCCTTGACCATATGGGACCATTTAGCTCTATTCAGCATTGGATGGTCCTAAGTATTATTATTTTCTTTTGCGATCATGTGAAATTAATGATATGGTATTATAGTTTGTGCAGTCAGTTAAATTTAATACAATTAAATTTTCTTTTGGGGGTGGGAGTTTTGGAATGTAGTTTGATCTCTTTCAATCTGTTGGCCATTGTTCATTCTCCAGATTTGCTAGCATGATTTGGTTTGAAACTTTACTGATTCTTGCTTGAAGAGAGAGGAAACAATGAAAGTATTCATTGACACAAGGGTGATGTATTTACTCAGTTTCAGATAGTGGTAGGTAAGATCTCTCAATTATTATCATAACAGCAGGTTTATATCACCAATAAGGTAATATAATTGAATTTTGGAATGACAGATTATTCTAGTGTCTAAAGATTTAGATTTTTGTTGAATTTTTCAAATTCAAATTCAACATCAGAAAAATAAAGAAGTTGTTGGTATAGATACGTGTACAGTTAATTTACTCTTCTCAATTATCTTCTGGTTTAAATAGGAAAGTTAAAAATCAACATTGCAATTCCTTGGCTGTTATTTTTTTGGCTCTTGCTCAGTGTTAACAAGGAGAAGTAGAAGGATTCAGTAGTGTTGTTTACAGAAACTCATGGACAGTCAGGTTGCCAGAAAGTCATTTTTTTGTCTAAGATCCAACAATGAAAGGACTTTCCCATATCTAAGCCAGCTTGGAATTGATCCTTTATTTTCTACTGAAGCGTGACATCCTCAGTATTTGAGGAAACATAACAGCAATTCTAGGCATGCTTTTAATAAACAATTTTCAAAAATAAAAATTGGTTAAATAGAGAAATTCCTAAATGCATACCATATTGATATGTGGATTGGTTTGTCTAATCATCATACCTATTTTCTAGGATCTTTTAATTATTTTGGGGGAAAGCGAAAATATAAGCTTAACATTTACATCTATGAAAATGTACTTGTGGCTTTTGAATTAAACCAATTCATGGTTGAGCTTATTTCCTTAGAAACAGAAATCAGTTGTTCCTTAGGCTAGGAAAGAAGTTCTGGCTATTCCAGATGAGAACCCAATGTCTTGTGAATATGAACTGCCTGTTAAGGCAGCACAAAATTAAATAAGAATGCGGCATAATACAACTATTGAAGCTTTCACTGACAACAACAGCATTGACACAAAATATTGATATCATAATGAACAACCAAGGTAATAATTTTCTGATTGTTTTTGCTTTCAGATGAAGCTTTTATTGTATAATAGCCATATAAATATTCTGTCAACTCAATTATGTTGTCATAAAATGATTGGGAGTTCTAGGTTTCCATATAAATGCATAACAGCATTCAAGAAATTTGAATAACCAAGATACCAGAATGTTAAAAACTGAGAGGAAAAGCTATATTCATTCTCTTTGGAACAATAACAAATATATTAAATCAAATTAACGCCACACTGGTAGAATTGTACATAGTAAAATGTTCTCAGTGTTCTCTGTTGAGTTGTTTGTTGGATGCATTGACACAATCTCCACTCAGACTCAAAACATCCTGAAAGCAAAAATACTGTTCAGTTGGGAACAATTTGTTATTTATCATTCAGAGGAATTCCAGCTTTAAATTCTTGACGTACACACTTTTGCAGTATACTTTCCAATGGTCCTTGATCTCTGTAAATACCACCTATCTCAGTTATGTTGTTTTTGGTGCACTGCCATAGATACGCTATGGAAGAAAAAAGCAGCAACCTCTATATCTTCACACACACACACACACACACACACACACACACACACACACACACACAGAGAGAGACACACACACACACTCAAATTGCCTAGCTGAATTTAATGTTTTATGTGATATTTTACGACATAATTTTATACTAATCAAATATCCTTTTGAACATCTGAGCAAACTTAAATCTTTTAATTCAAAGAACCTGACTGTGCACAAACTTGGCAGGCAACCAAACATGCTGCTTGGTTTCTCGATTGGAGATACAGGAAACTTTTAAAAGTTCATGCTGGCCAATAACATTCTATGAGAGCTCTACAACTATAAGGAAGGGGGAAAAAATCCAACTTACGGTCAGATGTGCCCTAATCACCTTGAGCCTACATTACTACAATACATTCCACACAATTATCATTGAAAAATATGTGAAAGTTGCAGCTGGTCCAGAATGACCATGGTGGTGCAGTGGTTAGAGTGCAGTACTGTGGGCTACTGCTGCTGCCTGCCAGCTGCCTGCAATTTGGCAGTTCAAATCTCACCAGGCTCAAGGTTGACTCAGCCTTCCATCTTTCCAAGGGGGGTAAAATGAGGACCCAAATTGTTGGGGGCAATATGCTGATTCTGTAAACTGCTTAGAAAGGGCTGTAAAGCACTGTAAAGTGGTATATTAAGTGCTATTGCTATTTGCTTGGTGAAGCCATAAAACAGCTACTCCACAAACTGTACTGGTTACTGGTATGGTTCCAAGTGTGGATTGTGCCCTTACTTTCTTTTCAAAGGTCTCTGAAGATCTAGCTTTTCCTTTGGACATTGAATGTGAGCTGCCCTCTCACAGCTTGGATGAAGTTGCTCATGTGTGAAAAGCTCCATTCTTTTTTATTTTTTAAAGATCTTTTATGTATTTTACCTTCTATCCAATCCTGAGACACATTTCAATTGGCAGTTTTATAAACCAATATAAATGATTGAATAAATACATCCTATGACAGGGGTGTCAAATTGGTGGTCTGCAGGCCAGAATCATCACACGCAGGCCACACCCACCCCAGCTCTGCAAATGGGGAAAATGTCACAAAAGTCACATAACAGCAACATGACGCTGAGAGTTTGACACCTGTGTCCCATGACGCATGGAAATGTCTGTAATCTATGGATAGACTCTCCCACTGTTAAATTCCAATTCCCATCAGCCTATCAAACATTGTTTGTGACATTGGAGCTCCAATTCTGCAGCATTTGAAGAATTCACCACTCTTTGCAATCTCTAAATTTGTCCTGGCTCAATATATTTTGCAAATTGACAAATTTTATATGAATGATAAAAAGCCTCTCTATTTTTTTCAGTCATGAATCAATGAACTGGAAAGAAAGCAGTGGAAGAACTCTTGTGAGCATTTAAAATCTTTGCCTTAACTTATTTATTCTTATTTTGACTTGCAAGAAGCACTGATAACATACCAAACAGCCTTCAACCAATGAAAGAAAAAATAGGTGCACAATGCAGATGAACCCAAGGAACATAGGAGAAAACGATATTTTTCCATTTAAGCAGAAATTCTGGAGAAATATTTGAACATATTTTCTCCTTGTCTCCCTCTCATTGTTCCACATGACCTTTTATAAACCTGTGTGCCTTAATAAAGCAGAGTCTGGCCAAAACTAACATTTGTACAATGTTTGCTTCCTTCACCATCTTACAGGATTACTTTCCTTGCAGCATGAGTAACTCTAAAAAAGATGTCTATTTTTATGGAAGGATAGGCAAAGAAAAAGTTCTACCAGGAAGCTGTAGGCCACAGAAAACCGTAACTTTCCACTGCTTTGTTTGCTGATGAGGAAATATTAGTGCTCACATACAATATTCTACATGAGGGAAAAACGTGCGTCAGAAAGAAGGCTGTTCTGACAATTTTCTGCATAGAGAAAGGTTCTGTTACCTGCAG